CTTGTTGAATATGCCTTGACTTATATTACTCGATTTATTAAGAGATTACGAATAAAATGATATCTAAAACATAGGTGTGCCCACAAATTTAAAAATTAATTTATTTTTTGAAAGTGTACCTATTTTTTAGATTTGCTCATATGTATGCCAAACTTTCGTACGTCAGACGGCGCATAACTCGACAATGAATGGTCCCCTATGAAATTTTTTTTGTTGTATTTGTTTTCCAGATGATGGATATGAAGAAGCTATTTGTTAGTGGAAAACGACAAATAAAAACATTTGGAGCTTACGTTTTTTTCGCGGTTATGGCTCGATTGCTTCGAATATGGTAATTCGATTTCTTTGATGTTGCACTGTTAGTGTGCTGGGGAGATTATACCACTGTCAGAGTATTAACCATTGGCTTACACAGTCACGATTGGCGATTCGTGCCGGATGAACTCAGGAAGAATAAAAAGAACACACAGCTACTGAACGACTGAGACAGGGAACGTGATCTACATCTTCAAATGAGAAGTACCGTAAGTGTGCAATTGCATCTCGGCATTGATTAAACCAAGCTGTCGTGTGTTACTATTGGGTCCATGGATGCGGGTTGCCAATATTATATTGCGTGAAAGTCTCATTCGGAGACGCCAGGATTGTGTTGTGGAGGGCAATACCTAAATACCTTCGTTGACTCATTTACCAGAACGCGCGCTTTACTTTACAGGGACTTGGCAGAGTCAGGAGGTCTCCACGAATATCGACAAATACATTTCGGCATTTAAGGGAATTTTGGGTCTTTAGCCTACATTGAATTTCTGTAGTCTAACGATTCTCATCCATTTTGTCATGTTGTCTCCAGCGAATGAAGAACAAACATTTCTTCAAATTTAAAAAGTAAAAATTTCACTACTAAAAATTGAAAGATGTTCTTAAAACCTGAAAAGAAATATCACTGTTTTTGTTTTTAGGAGTAGGGTGGGAGTGTCATTGATAAAATTAGAGCGAGAGAAAGTTTTCTTTACAAATCCTTTCATTATTGAATCATGGAAAATAACGAAAACAATTTAATTCAAAATACAAAGCATATTATGTATAAAATTAGTTTATAACCAAGCAGACAGTTACAATCTTGTGTAAATAGAAACATTGATAGTTTAATAGTGGTTCAGTTGAATGGTTGGTTGGTTTAAGTGGATTGTCACTGGTGACTTGGTGACAAGTAACTACAAAGTTTGCCATTTTGATTCCACAACTCGAACCACCTACAGTCATTTGGCGGCTTTAAGGAATTTCAGTACGTCAAACAGAGAGAGGCCGCTGCACTCTAAAACATTCCGCAGGAATGGCTTGCCGAGTGTCTTAAGCCTCATCCCTTCGAGAGCAGGACACTCGTACAGAAGTGTCCGACTGTCTCTTTTGAGCCAGGGCCATCGCAACTGCGACAGGGCCTGTTGAAGGGCAATCCCATCCTTTCGACATGTACCCCAGGGCCAGTACCCAGCAGTAAGTTTGTAGGTATCTTCTTTGCTGATTCCCAAGAGAGCTTTGGTTTTATGTGGGTCGTAGGACACCCAGAACTGCCGGGTAATCCTATACGATCCTCTACGGTTTCACCTCTGCTTGGTCTTCAAATGATAAATTTCGGTAATTTTTTCGTGGGACACATTCAGTGCGATGCCGCACCTTGCTAGTTCGTCCGCTGCCTCGTTTCCGTAAATGTCCCTATGTCCCGGGACCCATATTAGGGTAATTTTGTATTAGATAGAGACATACGCTAGCTCTCTCCTACAGTCTTCCACTAACTGAAATCTAAAAAATATAGAAGATAGTGCGTTAATGGCCGCTTGACTATCCAAGAAGATATTCAGATGAATATTTGGGAAAAATTAAAGGTAATTTTTTTGTCAAGAGATTTCGCATTAAATTTAAATGATTATAAATAACAAAAAGCAAAAAATATGCAAAACTCATATGCATTTATTGTAAAATTTATCAAAATTTGCACAATAAATATCCAAGAACAGGTATTTTTGCAAAATATGCAAAAACATGCATTTACTGCAAAATAGGCAAAAATATGACGATTGAATGCCATTTTAAAGGAAATTCCATAATTCGTAAAGATAACTTAACCATTTCCATGTGAAGATGCCCAGTAAAAACATGCATTTGCATAAGATTTCATATCAGATTAGATATCATATTAAATTTTCGAAATTCAAATCGGCAGATCAATATGGCGAACGAATAAAAAAAAAATATAGATTATTATGAAAAATGGAATCCAGGGGTTTTCAGGGTCACTGATTACGAAATCGATATTATATTTTCAAAATTCAAGCAGCCAGCGATTAGCGATTAAAAAATTTAATCATTAATCGTACAGTTAATTACGACTAATTAATTTTAATCGTCAAACGCGCTTAACATTTTAATCGGATTAACATTTTGCCAACACATACTCACGGAGAAAAATGGACGTTTTTGGAAAAGAGGCGTAGCACCTCCGATACTGACTGAAAGTTTCATATTGCATATCTCTTCAAATGTTTGGGTTAAAGTACTCAAGCTTGGTATGGAAATACATATGTATGTATTTGTGTGAAACTAATACCATACTCATGGAGAAAAATGAGAGTTATTGGAAAAGGAGGTGTGTCAACTCCCATGCAAATTGATTGTTCTATGCTGCATATCTCTGGAGGTGTTTATTGCAGAGGACTGGCACCGAGATGTGTATACAAAATTAATTCCATACTCATGGAGAAAAATTTGAGTTATTCAATAAGGGGGCATGGTACCTCCCGTACAAATTTACTTTTTATACTGCATATCTCAAGAGGTGTTCATGGTAGAGTACTGGGACTTGGTACTGTAAAATCAATTATAAATTCATGGAAGAATATTAGGGTTATAGGAAAAAGGGGCGTGGCACTTCCTGTACAAATTGACTTTTTCTTGCCACATATCCCTGGAAGTGTTTGTGGAAGAATACTGGAACTTGGTATGGAGTTGTGTATACAAAATGTATCAATTGCTCATGGAAAAAATGTGAGTTATTAAAAAAGGAGGAATGTCGCCTCCCATGCATACTAAAAATTTCTTAATACATATCTCTGGAAGGATAGAAAATCTCTCGAATTATTTTAAATCTGTTATGGGGATTTATTTTATACGTGCCGTACTGACAGAAAAAAATTTATTTAATGGAAAAGGGAGAGCCGGGTTCGGCCTTATAATCTAAAGCTCTCATGATGCATACATACCTCTTGAGGCATTTGCTACAGTAATGAAAAGTGGTATTTTATCAAGGCCAGTTTACTAAATTTGAGTTGGAAATATTAGAACCCGCCGTGGCACCTCCAAGAAGGTTACACGTTCACGCGAGGTATCCCTGGAACCATTTTAAGGTAAACTTAGAGGGAGTGATGTATTTCGTATGCCTAGCGCGCAGACGAGATTTTATAATTTCATAGTTTTAAACGGCCTAAATACCTTAACTCGCTTAAAAAATAACGAGCTATAAGAAAATGGGCACAGAAATAAAATATAACATCATTAAATTATTTTTCATATTTGTATAAAAACGTGGGGTGAAACCCGCGGGTATAAGCTAGTATGTACATAGTTTTTAAATTACTGATGTCAGATTGAAATACTACAAACGCAATTTTACTATAGTTGGGCCAATGGTTTCGCGAAGATAATGATATTTGTGTTTAAAATTTACTATCGCGCGGTTATACATATAACAGCGTGGGCCGGAAATCCGATTTTTCAGAATTTTGATTGGTAATAGCAAAAATATGGTTCATTATGCTCTAAAACAATCTATGTGAAAGATGACAATTTTTATCTTAGGCTCGCCCAAGTCCATCAAAATTCAAGTGCTAAAAAATGTTTTCCGAGCTTACTTTGATTCTCTACAAAAAAGTTCCATATGCCAAATTATGTAGGACTAATACTTTCAAAGACAATTGCAATTTTAGTAAAAAAAAAATGTGTTAATTAATATCTTTATTAATTTTTATTTTTTGAGCATATTGAACATTGATGGACTTGTCCTCTTTCACCAGCCCTTTGCACATGATAAAAAAGAAAAATGGTGGATGGAGACCGTGTAGCGATTTTCGAAGACTCAACGCCATCACCGAACCCGACAGGTATCCGTTATCGCACTAACATGACTGCATGCATACTTTCTACGACTGAACAACGTTTTCTACACTCGAACTTCGCCGCGCCTATCATCAAATACTTATCATCAAATAACCGTCTGCGATAGCAACTAAAACGTCATTTAGCATGCACGAGTTCCTGTATATTTGCTTTGGACTAAAAAATGCTAGTAAAACCTTTCAGCGATTTATGGACCGAGTTTAGATGATATCCTAGTTGCGAACCATCACAAGCAGCACTTGCGGCTGGTGTTCAATAAACGCGAACACGGTGTGGAGATAACTCAAATAAATGGGTTTTAGGGAAATCCAAGGTGAATTTTTTTAGGATTCACCGCCAATAAAAATGGAATCTTACCTCCTCAAAAATATCAAACTACTAGAGAGAGTGTGCGACCTGCGACGTTTCTTAGGGATGACAAACTTTTTAGAAGGTTTTTTCCTAAAGCAGCAGAGAGGCATCTAGCACTCTGTAAATGCATCAAAGGTAACAAGAAAAACGACGTTTGGGTGAACTCGAAATGACGTCTAAACGAAGTCGTTTTTTCCATACAAACCGCAACGTCGTTCCGACTTCGTTTTTTCTCATCGAATCGAAATCGTTACGACGTCGCACATTATTAATTAATCCCAACGGTTTTTTACCCTCCATTCCCGCCCAACCGGCACGAGGGGCGCAGTCCGCATGGCATGCGGAACTTTTGTTTTTAGTTTTTTTCTTTTTAGTTTTTCGGTGCCGAGTAGTGGAAACAGGAGTTTGTAAGTGTCGAAATCTAAAACTATTCAGCTGCAGAATCAAATTCATCATGGTTATACTAAAGATAGTATTTCAATTATGCCCGTATGATACTACGTTTTTTTCTTGTATTTCGAGTGTATTTTACGCTGTGTTTTGAAAGAAAGAGAAGGTCACATACAATTTCAGTACTTGTGTAAGCGAGTAAGCTATATACCAAAAAACAAACGAAAAACTAACGAAAAACAAACTAGGTTGTTAAAAACAGTCCGGCCAACTTGTATTTCGTTAGGTTTTTTTGACAGATGGCTGTATTTCGTTAGTTTTTTTACACAGCTGTTTGCATTTTGACATACGAGAGATTTTCTAAGCATACAATGGAAATACAAGTTTTATCTATTGCAACAAATTGTTTGCTAAACGCTGCTGCCTTAATACAGCGTAGGAAAAAGAAAAAGACTAAAAAAAAATATTCTGCGCAATGGCTTTTAAAAAGAGAACTGGAAGGTAAGTTTCGAATTCCACATTTTATACACATGTATATAGTTCGTTTTTGTAATTATCAAAAATACTTTTCATAGGATTTAGCCATAAACTGTTAAAGGAAATTGAGTGCGAGGATTCAATCCTTCACAAAAATATCTTAAGAATGACTCCAGCTCAGTTTGCATTCTTATTAGAAAAAGTACGCCCCTATATTAGCAAGCAGTATACAAAATTCAGGAACTGCATAGGAGCTGCGGAACGGCTGCAGCTGACATTGCGATATCTATCCACTGGTAAGATATAATATTTTCTTGGTAATTTTTAGTACCGACAGACATAGTATGTACATATTTCCAAAATTAGGTGAAACCCAAAGGTCACTTCAATTGCCGGTCCGAATTCAGCAGTCAACCATTTCCAGAATTTTAAAGGAATCAATTCCCGCAATATATTTGGCGTTAAGGGATGAGTATTTGAAATTCCCTGCAAGTGAGCAAGATTGGCGTGATATTGCAAAAGACTTTTATCAGATGTGGGGATTCCCGAACTGCATCGGCGCTTTAGATGGTAAACTAACAATTAACACTTTTAAATTCACTCAACTGATGAAACGTCTCAGGAAAGCATTGCAGAATACTGCCAGTGAGGTAAGCAGGATCTACGTATTTCAATTACAAAGGATACCATTCATTTGTATTGATGGCAATCGCTGATGCCCACTATCGTTTTATTTACGCTGATGTCGGTGTTAATGGGAGAGTGGGTGATGCTGGAATTTGGTTGAACTCGGACCTGAAATACGCTATTGAAAAAAATGAAGTACATATACCAGCCCCATGCACGCTCCCTTTCATGTCAACTCCCTCGCCTTTTGTGCTTTTAGCCGATGATGCCTTTGCTCTAAAATACTACTTAATGAAACCTGACTCTCATCTAAGACTATCACCAAGCGAACTTTAATACAACAACATACTTTCGTTGAAAATGCTTTTGGCATACTTGCGAACCGTTTTCGAGTTTTATTTTCACCCATTCATCGCGCTCCAGCTGCAGCCATTCAGATTGTATTATCTTGCGTATGTGTGCACAACTTTCTAAGAACAGAAAATGTGAAACTACGTTTGACGCCATTTCCGAAAGTGAAATAGATGCAATAATAGATAACAACTATACAACAACCGCTTCTGAAAGAAATGCGTCAAAAAGGAGCGCTAAAGAAATAAGAAAAACTTTCGAAAACTATTTTTCTGCGGTAAATTAAAATATCGTTTCATTGTTTAAATAAACCAAAACTTTTCGGGTTGGAAATTTTCCATACCAGTAGAAGCAACAATTGGTTTATTTGGTGATTAAATAAATGAGTACAATGTCTTCAATTTATGTACATACCTACTAGCTAATACCTGCCTACTTAGCGGTGCACCGTGAGTAGTACAAACACTGTTACATTTTTGATTCAATTAGAGCAACCAAATATTTTAATGAAAGTAATAATAAGGTAAAAAAGTGGTAAGAATAATCAAAATACATATTCACTCGGCAAAATAATAACTCTGCCTCCTTTCAGTAAAGTTTGACTATTTTCCTTTTATTTATTGAACTTTAATAATTTACTTATAAAAATATACCCCATTAATTAAAAATCTTTAAACTTGGCAATATGTGGTGCGTTTATAATTATGACACGGGATGTATAGTTAACTCTACAAACAAAACCATATCAATAAAACTTTTAAACTTTAAACGAAATTCAGGAAAACTCATCAAAATTTCGATTTTTTTCTTTTAAATATTAAAAAGAACATTGCATGTCTGTGTAGATGTGTAATTTTTATGTAATAAATGGGAAATTTCAAGTGGCTTAAGATCACCGTTAATTTTGGGTATTGTTTTTTTTTTTTAAGCTGAGGGCGCCGGATACCACTTAAAAGGAAGTTCGAAATTGTTATGTAATTTTATGCACTTTCTTGAATTTTGTTTAAAGTTTAAAGCTTCTAGTGATATGTGTTTGGTTGTAGAGTTAACTAAAGTTTTATAAATAAGTTATTAAAATTCAATACCTACGGAAAATGGTCAAAACATGACAAAAAGGGACACTCCTATTTTTGTCTATGAGTGTACATACATACATATAAATAGTCATTGTGTTACATAAGCCCCCGTTTCAATTGCTCACTTTGCAGATCCATCAAAATGTCATGCATTTGTTTCTTCGCTTTGAGTTGCAAGTCGGGGTCCAGTTTTACAATTTCTTCACCCATGTATATCCCAAAACTGTTGCCTTTTCGTCAGTGTTATTTGTTTTTGATGCAACATGAAAGGCATTTGTTAAATTTTGTGATGCTTCGATTAAAGCAGAGGCGTTTTCATCCAAATCATTATTAATTTTTGTTCTTCGTTTTCTTGTTGCATGGACCAACTTTCTAGTGCTATTGTTGTTATTGTCATCAAACCGACCACAGTTTTGCGAAGTAACCAGAGGTGGAGTTACAATCTCATCCGATATGATTTTAATTGGTGTTGCATCACTATTAGTGTCTTCTGTAGAGATGTTTTTAGTATCTTGGAGCGACTGGATACTGCTGTTACTTGTAATTGCAAGAGGGGTAATTGTAATGAACTCTGTGTTGTCTTCGATGAGTGAAAAGGATGACTCTGAGTCAAAGCCTGGATCGAAACATTCTGCAGGCTGCAGTTGCTCCCCAAGCTTACGCGATGGATTGGGATCAGGGTCCAGGTTCTACAAGAGAATGAAAATATTAAGCAAATTTTACGTAGCACGCGAATCGACGCTTTGCCCGGTTTCACACAATAAAAGTCGTACCTGCAAACTCCACTTATTAAAATTATTCACTGATGGTGTATGCTCATTCACATGTTGTAGGAATTTCAAAGCTTCATAGAACTTCCAGCTGGTCTGTACGTTTTCGTCTCCGCGGGCACCGCTTCTCTTTGCCTTGTCCATCCTCTGCTTCTCTGAACTGAAATATGACTTGATGTTGCACCACTTGTGCGTAACTTCATCTTTAAATACATATATGTATTATACAAACATATAATATATCTTTTAGTTATTACATGTGAACTTGCTAAAAACTTACCGTATTGAAATGGTACATTTGCTGTGAACGTTGAGTTCATTTCATCCACCAAAGCGAGCCAAAACTGCTGCTTTTTATATTTGGGCTTATATGATGGTAGCATATGATTCCATATATATTCTGCACCGTGGACTTTTTCAATTAAATGGAATGCGTAGTTGTCTCGCCACTTTAATTTCATTTTTATTGTTACAAAACTGTTTTACATCAATTTTAATTTCGTTTATTTGAATTTCGGTAATGAAACGTCAAAACTCAGCTGTTCTTCACACATAATTTGTCTTTCTCTAACACATTGCCGAATAGTTTTTGTAATTTGACTTTCGTCAGTTTTTTTGTTTATACTTCAAATGAAAAATACAGGAAAAAAACGTAGTATCGGTAGTATACGGGCATTATAGAGAGTGGAAATGACAGTTTTCTTTATAGTAAAAATCGAGTCCGATATATCAAACTTGCTGGAATGAGAGTTAAAATCTTGACATAAACAACGGAATGATTCGTTTAGTTCAAAATTAGTTTTGCATGGCTTCAAAAACAGAGGTCGAAAGTGTCTTGACACTAGAGATGGAACATTAAAATTTACCTCAGCCAGGAGGGCCGGGCTATTAATCAAGCCTGCCATTAATTTTACGATAAATATTATACCTAGCATTTCTCTACGACTTGCGAGTGAAGGCAAATTTATGAGCTTTAGACGAAATGTGTAAGTGGGGAGATTTAATCTGAATCCCAGTTAAACTCACGCAATGGAAAAAGCAAGAATTGTTTTTGAATTAATTCAATCCTTTCTGAATGAACTTGGTAGCGAGGATTCCAAACAAAAGATCCGTATTTTAGTATAGGTCTAACTAAAGTGGTAAAAAGAGCTTTTGTAACATAAGTATCTTTGAACTCTTTTGACCATCGCTTTACAAATGCAAAAACGCCTTTGGCTTTATTGATTGTAACATTAATATGATGGTTGAAATTGAGTTTGGAATCCATTGTGATACGAAGATAGACAAAATTGGATACCTGCTCCAGATTATAATTTGAAATTGAATAAACAGCTGGTTGAACTGCCCTTCGAGAGAAACACATAACTTTACATTTTTTTAAGGTTAAGTGGCATATAATTTGCATTACACCAACTAACCGCGTTGCTCAGATCCGTTTGTATCAAAGACCTTTCTTCGATAGAGGACAATGTTTTAAAAAGTTTCACATCATCGGCATACATTAAAATTTTTGAATGTTTTATTATAGAAGAAATATCATTAATGAATATCAGGAACAGAATCGGACCAAGCTGGCTTCCCTGAGGAACTTCTGAAGAAACTTTAATGATGTTGGAAGAGCAATTATTAACAATAACTTTTTGTGTTCTATCAGAGAGGTAAGAATATATCCATTGAAGAAGACTGGGCGGAAAGCCAATTAGGTCGAGTTTACGAATGAGTAACGAGTGACAATCCTTGTCAAAAGCTTTACTGAAATCGGTGTATATTACGTTGGTATGAGCATTTTCTCTAAAACCGTTTGAGACATGAGCTGTAAACTCCAATAAATTAGTAGATTTTCCTTTAGAAAACCCGTGTTTAGATTGTGAAATTAAGGAAGATATAGAATATGTCAGCTGATTAACAATAATTGTTTCGAATAATTTGGGGGTAGCGGAGAGCTTCGCTATGCCTCGATAGTTTTCTATAGAGGACCTGCTGCCGCTTTTGTGAAGTGGTATTATGAAAGACTCCTTCCAGGCTGACGGAAAAACGCCATGTTTTAGTGACAAATTGAATAGAGTTGTTAAAGGCTCGCAGATGTTCTGAGCGCAGTTTTTAAGAAAACACGTTGGAATATGATCAGGTCCAGGCCTAAATGACGCTTTTAAGGTTTTTAAATAGTGTGAAACTTCATCGGAAGATATTACTGGAATATAAGCAGAGTTGATTTTACAAAGCTCTCCACTTATAGGGAAGTCTACAGAATAACTGGACCGCTCAATTTCCCATTGAACTTGATCCAGGCTCGAAAAAATCCTTTATATCCGAAAAAGCTTAACAAAGGTTGAAACTTCCTACATTTTGAGAAAAATTTTCAGTAACCGGTATGGGAGGAAGGATAGTCAAGAATTCAAATCGAGTTTGCCACCTCACTCTCATAGCTCAAAGACAGAGCATTCGCATCGCAACTCGAGCAATCATTCTTCAAAAACTTATCAGTTTCTTACCAACATTCCAAATACAAGAGTTTAATGTATCCGAACTCAAGATCGCGGATCTGACCTTTCACACCCCCGGCCAAATTGAGCTAGTATTAGGTAGTGACCTGATCCTACAAATCCTATATATCTAATGTTTGTTATTTTAAATTGGCGTTTGTACAAATATGTCTTCAACGGCAATACCAAAGAATTCTCTTCCGTAGGAAAAACGAAAATAAACTCACGGATTTTGCGCTTAGAACGGTCACCTTCGGAGTTAATTGCGCTCCATATCTCGCTATTCGGACTTTGCACCAGTTAGCAGACGATTCAAAAGCTACTTATCCATTAGCACAAAGAATATTAACGGCAGAAACTTATGTTGATGACATATTATCAGGAGGACACGACCTTTCTTATAGCGTAAACGCGCAATACCAACTAATTCAATGTCTACTATCAGCTGGTTTCCCCCTAAAGAAGATCACCTGATCATCAATCAACTACCTCTAGAAGATATAGAAGTCTTTCTCTGGTCCGACTCGTCGATAGTGCTTGCG